CTTCCTCTTTCTTCCTCTTTCTTCTTGATTTTCGCGTCTCTTCGTGTCTTTTCTTCATTTTTATGTTTCATCATGTTTCTTCTTCATTTTACTGTTTCTTCCTCTTTCTTTTTCATTTTAACGTCTTCCTTTTTTTTTCTTCATTTCTGTGTTCTTTCGATTTTTTCTTCATTTTCGCGTCTCTTTATGTCTTTTCTTCATTGTCCTATTTCTTCCTGCTTCTCTTTCATTTCCGCGTTTCTTTCTGTTTCTCCTTCATTTTAATGTTTCTTAATATTTCAAAGGGCGAACGGAACACGCCAACAAATATGACGCTTGATTAAGAATTACGAAGACCTACATACACAAAGTGATACGTAGACAGATGAGTGTAAAAAGAAAATATCCTAACAAATTACCGGCGACATTCATCACCACGAGCTGACCCTGATATAAAATATAATCTGAACCAACAGACTCATTATCTAACCTAAAATTTCAAAAAAAGAAAATAATGTAAGTCAGCGTAAATATCAGTAACTAGTCGTTTGGTTTATGTTACACTACAGTGGTAGTTTGTTTTTTTATATATGAAAGAAAAAAATTCTTGGAATTCTTGCAATATTTAAAAGTGTAAACACATACAATATTTTCACAAAAGAACTTTCTACCTTAAGTCCGAATCTATTGATAGTATGGGTTGGCTTCCTCAAAAATGTCCGCTAGGCGGCTCTATTTGAGTCTATAAAAAGACAAACGTTTCCTTCCACATTTTCTCTATTGCTTCCAAATGTAGTAGAACGTAGATTAAGAAACTCCACACTGCAGCGTGTTCGTTTCCTTAGACCTCTGATGATTAAGGCCTCACATCCACAAAGAAGCTGATTCTTAATAGCATAGTTTTAATGATTGTCTTTTACATACAGTTGCATTCCTTGTGTAATGCATATATAAACTATCGTTTATTTTAACTTCGATACTTTTGGTTTTATTTTTACACTTTTTTTTATTTTACACTATTTTTACATTTGAGTCCGCCAAATATTGTTTGCTGGACGGATATTCAAAGATGCCTTAAATGATTACTAGAAAATGTCCACAGCTAGCAACGAATGAAAAACGTTCAGCAACACTTCACAGTTTACTGGATAGAGCTGAAATCTTTACTAATATTTCATAATCACCTAATGGTTCAGGATGAAAATTAAAAGCTTTTCCTGAATATGGTCTGCAGAAATTTCAGTGCGTCTTACATACATACGTGTCTTTGCAGATTTTCATTTTTTTTATTCCCACCCCAAGTTTTCGTTTAAATCATGCTATATATATATATATATATATATATATATATATATATATATATATATATATATTTTCCAGACTGATACTGAACTCTCTAATATTGATTCTGCAAATCAATTTTCTTAGAATTTAATTCTCAAATACTTTAATTATTTTCTTAAGATTTGTCACTTTAAATATATATATAAATATATATATATATATATATATATATATATATATATATATATATATATATATATATATATATAGTATTATAAGTATTTCCAAATATATACCAGAACATACACTCGTGGTCAAATTCTTAAGACCGGATACAAAAGGGTTAACAAATATAAAATATTGTTATTTTAGCCAGTGTGCGCATAGCTTCCCGTGTATAGACATCTACTTAGCACATTTCCAGCATTAAATTTCAGATTTGCAAATGGCTAAGGGTAAAATTTTAACAAAGTTCGAACAAAGTAGTATTGTTGAAATTCAAAGCCGTAATCTTTAGCAACGAGTTTCTGCAAATGAAATTGGCCGTAGCACAACTGTAATTGCTAACTTCATAAAAAATACGGATGCGTATGCTTCTAAAAGATCAAGCGGTCGCCCAAATAGAATTTCACCATCTCTAGACAGTTGAATTAGGCGAGAAGTTAAGAGAGATTCAAACCTAGCGTCAAATCAGATAAAAGCGAATACAGATGCTGAATGCATCTCTCGAACAATTTGACCGCATTTGAATAAGAAAGGTTTTAAAACGTAAAACGGCTGCAGCGGCCTCGCCTTCTTACTCGCCATAAAACCTCCAGTTTACACTTTGCTTCCTAATTATCAAACTTGGGATGTAGATAAATTGTTGTTTTCAGACGATGAAAAAATTCATCCTTGATGGTCCAGACGGTTGTCAGCATTACTAACATACAAAAGATGTCACCAAATAAATTTTCTCAACACGACACATAGGTGGATCAATTATGGCCTTGTGTTCGTTTTCGTACAGTGGAAGTCTTGAGTTAAAGGCGATAAAAGGTCGTCTAGTTACATTAAAATGTTAAGAAATGCATCATTAATTACTGAAGGCCCTTGTCTACGTGGTGTAAACTGTATTTTCCAGCAGGACAATGCTGCAATGCACAACGCTCGAAGGTCGAAGGATTTGTTTTTTTATCGAAAACAACATTCAACTTTTGAGCCATCCAGATGGATGGCTAAGGATGTATATAAACATGGATCGCAATTTGAAACTTTGGACACTCTTCGTGCTGCAATTTATGAAGCCTGGGCAAGCATCCCAAACTCCCTCAGGCAGAACTTGATAATCACTATGCCAAAGCGGATTTTCCAAATAATTTCGCAAAATTATAATAAAAAAATTGCATATAAATATACTGAATATTAAATTGCGTTTGTTGATTATTCGTGCTGTATTTCCTGTTTTTAGTTACATAGTCTTATCTTTATGACCAATCAAAAACTACTTTGTCAATGTTTGTTTAAATTAATCAATTAAAAATTTAAAATATTCACTAGTTTGTTTGTAAACTACATTTTCTTATTGTTAACTGTAAATGTTTCGCAAATATATTTCATTAAATAACAGTCTTTTCTATTTTCTTAACCCTTTTGTATCTGGTCGTAAGATTTTGACCAGGAGTCTATAAGAAATTTAAATCCCAAGTAAAATTCTTTAAGAATTAAAAAAACAAAAACAAAAAAAAAAATTTCTCTCATTTGTTTTTGTTGGCTTTCCGGTCTATATTTACAGATAAAGTGTCCAATATTTGAATTACTTTATGTTAAAAGTGTTAGAAATTTCCATAATCTGGTTCTCTGTGTTTTTTTTATTTTCTTCCTTTTCAATTATCGCGTCCCCACTTCTTCATGATGACATTAACTTTCTTTTAAATTGATTAGCCAATTTTTTACGGGTTAGATTCATGTTATTTAATTCCAGAAAAAGATTCATAGATGTAAGGATTTTTTTCAGATAATAATGAGTGACTGAAAAAAGTCCTACTAATTAACCCATAGTTGGGGGATACAAGATGGATCCATATATTCTCTTACGGTATTTGCACGTAAGTGAATATGAAGAACGCGGCAATCCGATTACTAATTCCTTGCAGTTATCAATTACACCGACTGCACATACAAACTTACAGCAAATGGTATTCCAACCTGCCACCAATTTTGGTACAGACCAGGATCGACGTTGTTTAACTTTGCTTATAGTAAGAGAAACGCTCTTTTCAACGTTATATGGCCGTCAGTCTAGTGATGTTAGAACGCGGTATTTGAAAAATATATAGCACAAAACAGTGTAGGTCTTTTATAATGACTAACGCTTACTGAACGTTCTCGGACATTAAACAGTTTACATTTGCATATAGTATAGCCGAAACAATGAAAATAAACAAATATGCAATAAATAACTCGAAAGAATTAATAGAGATATGTCATTGGTCTTTAACCAAACTTATATCAATGAAGAACTGCTGCCCATATATATTGTCTCTCGCGACTCCTATCAAACTCTAAGTATGAGGGTCATAAGTTCCCAGGAAAAGACAGTCCGACATCAGCAAGCACATGAGACTTGATTATAGTGGTTAAGTTTTCGTGCAGAACCATCCAAACTTTTTGAAGGGCCGAATTCAGAGACCTGGTGCACTATGTGCCACGAGGTCCCCAAACGACCCTCCGCAGGTTTAGAATTCAGAGAGAGTTGTCCTTCTCCAAGACTAGTTGCCATTCAAGGCTATAGAACCCAATCTGTCCTGCTATTTACCCATAAAGGGATTCATACCTTTCCCAAGGGTATAAATGATTCGACTGGTATTCGAAATCGTCTTACCGATTCCGCTATCCATTACTCTATCGTGCCTCCTCTATATATATATATATATATATATATATATATATATAAAGATGTATTTAAATAGTTAATAAAGTTAGCGGATATGTTAAAAGAACTGGAGACAGGCAGACACACATACACACACATATGTATATATATATATATATATATATATATATATATATATATATATATATAAGATAATATATTGGAAACTTTTATCAATCTAACAAAGTGAATCCTTTTAGATTGATAAGCGTTTCCGATATTTTTTTTGACTTATTCTGTCGGATTTCGATCTATATTTGACCTTAAAT